TCGTTCGGTTGAATAGCGACTAACTATTCATCGAACAAAAAGGCTTCCGTGCTGCGGAAATCGTTTTTCATTCAGGTCGCCAGTAACAGTGCTGCCGTGTCTGGGTCTTACACGATATTCAAATATAGGCTGAGCTTACGCAGACAATCTGCAATGTAATCTAGAAAGGGTCTCGTGAAAATCACCATTTTACTTGATTCTTGTTTAAGATTGTATGTATGTAGATTGCGGCGTGGTTATAAAGGATTTCTTAAAGTTTGATGATATTCTTTATCGTTTTCTAAGTCTATATAGTCGTCGTATACAAACACGTCCGATATCTTCCGTTCTAAGAGAGCCCCTTATCGATCATATTCTGTATCTCTTTAAATAACCCAATATAACCTCCTTCACTGTCTCCTCATTAGAACACAACTGTTAGTTTTCTAATGCCTATGTCTTTGTAAATTAGGTCGGCCATTTATTTTTGTTTATGATTTAAAAATATGATGTTTCATCGTGCTTTTTTCCTTGAATTAATATACTTTACGAGATGATGCTATCGTGAATCACCGTCTGAATTCCGTGACCCCATGTCATTGGGATAGATTCGTTATAACGAATGTAGAGCCGACAGTATTTATGTACCTTTAGGGCTGTTCATTCCAAATTTAGGAACGTGGTTTTTCAAGAATAAATATTAGTGACATATTTTTTTTTAATGTGACGCAACTTTTGTGTCATTGTTGCGACATCACAATATGGCAAATAACGGTTTTCGTTCTTTATGCTTGTGTGATTACTTTTAACCCCTGTCTTTCTATAGTATGTCAGATGCTAATCTAAATGAGACGCCCGTGTACAGGTTATATATATTTGATACAGCTGCAATAACTAAGTTATTCCTTCCAAATGTTGTTTCGGCCGATTCTAATAAAACCAACGGGTTTGATCACGGAGGTTGACAGGTCACGGTGAATTCTTATCGTATCTTCACAGGTTCAGAGTTAGAAATGCTGCCTGTTGTAGCAATACAGCTGACGAGACGGTATTACATGACTGTCCAATGTATCACTAAGACAGCTACAACACTGTAACAAGAACCTGTAATTTATTATCCACTGCCAACCCTATTCGCATAGCATGCAGTACCTCGTTAATATGTCTGTACCGTCGTCACCCTCGCCCACTCGATTGCTATGCATTGTACCTAGCGAACAAATACTAATGATCAATAATTTTTACACTTTTACAATGATTGAATTGTTTGAAATTCTCGTGATAATTACCGACTATTAACACGTTCACGTTATGAGTTGATTGATGTAAATTATATCAAAATCTCTTCCTTTTCATAAAGAGTCAGTCATTTCTTGTCGTAAATATTTTAATTCAATAGATTGAATCCTAAAACAAGATATTTGTGGAGTAATAGCAAGATAAACGTTTCCAAATGATGAAAGCAAATTCAAATAATTAAACGAGCTTTACTTCCACTATTGCGCCAAGAATGAATAAGAAAATGACATCATAATTGGCGTCTAATAGTGAGTCGATCGGACAATCAATTTATGTCTTTTGTACCTTGAAACGTTTCTTGGAGACTATACTGATTCGATTTGAAAATGAGCCGGAAAGTTGGACGGGTAAAAATAGTTTAACTCGTGATTTAAAATTGCACAATGAATTTATTAATACTTAAACGAAGATAAAATTAGCCCGGCAATGTGAAAGACGTTTTATTTTCTCATTAGTTTCGTTCTAGAGGACCAAGGTTCTTATCAATGTGCTAATAATAATATTTAATATCGCTACAACCTTTGTCAATCTTAAATACGTGATCAGCCTCCTGTGTCTGCACGTCGACTTTTTCGGTTTAAGGCACGCCGGTTTCTTCACGATGTTATCCTTTACCGTACGAGCGTTAAATTGAGTGTTAAATTCGACACAAACAGAAAGTCCATTGGTGCACAGCCGGGGATAGAACCTTCGACTTCAGGCATGAGAGTCGCACGCTGAAGCAACTAGCCAACACAGCCCTTATCAATTTGCTAGACACTTAAATTTTAATAGTAATTCAAGCAGTAGTAGCTCGTTTTCTTATACTACGCCTACCTTCAAGATAAGTTCCGTCGATCTATAAATACAAAAGTTGATGTTTTGTACCCACATTTTTCTTAATTAATATAATTTGTTAAATGCAGGTAAAAAGGAATGTGTCGATAGCTGCTATATCGGTTTTGCTATATCGGTCACACATGATAAAGGCCGAGTTTCTAAACTGGATTGTATATAAATCGACCGTAGCATCCCATTATGGATAACTAAAACGAGAACCAAAGAATGCGCCACGTACATTCGTATAAAGTATTGTATCGTGACTAAACCTCGATTATGCTAATTGCGCGGCTCGTTGCTTTGATGCGGTTGGCCAGGAATTTAATTGGAACCGTTAGGAAATAGGATTCATCATTCATCATCATCAATGGCTTGACATGTCATCATATACAGCCCCTTGTAGGCTTTGCCTCCTCAAGTATATTTCGCCATCGCAATCTATTTGGTGATTCTTGCGTTCAACTTCGAATCTCTATTGTTACGAGGTCCTTGACAACTCCATCCTATCATTATCATCCTCGGTCTATCAGGTTTTTCTCTTGCTTGTGAGTTCAGTAAAGCGCTTGGGGTGCTGTCGTCCGCCATTCGGTGCGCATGTCCCAAATACTTGAGCCTGTTGCATTTTATGAATTGGACGATGTTGGTGTCGCCAAGGATGGTATATAGTTCTTCATTGTAGCAAATACGCCAAACACCGTCGTCGCAAACAGGGTCAAAGAATATTCCGCTCGAAAATAAGGAGAGCAAGCTCGTCTTTCTTGCTAAGCGCACTGACTGGTCGCAGCGGAGTTTTGTACAGAAAAAGCTTGGTAACAAGGTTACTAATGATTTATTATATATTTGTTAGACCGTCTTGGCACTGATGAGTTAAAACTGTTTCTAATATACTAGAGATATTGTAAGACAGTGTTGTAGGGCACAAAATCCCCAGCCAAGGTAACTATACAAATGTTACATTAATAATTTTGAGTTTCAAGAGAAGAGCGTACCACTGTGGAAGTGGCTTCTCTAAGTAGGCAGTGGGCTGTGGTTAGCACTAATCTCTAAGTGCCCTCGTGCTCATCGACTCCCTCCCTCATCTCTATTTATCTATTGTTACTGGAGGACTGCAACGAACAATGGTAAATGCATATTAGTCGTGATAGTATTAAGAATGATTTGTTGACTTACTCTTTTAGCTGGAGTCTGACCAACGTGGGCGGTATTTCTTGTAATTTTTGCACAGTAATGAATATTCATGTTTCAGTTTCGGCCATGGCACTTGCATATAAATGATCACTTGGGACAATTTTCGTGAACGTATATAGACTCGAAACATATTTGTTAACTATGTCGCATTTCCTTTGTCTACATTGAGTACTGTGCAAAAATACAGTTATACGGATAAGGTTTATTATATTGTATTACATTTAAAATGTTATATACTTACATTAAACTTACCCATTTAAGACAATTTCAAATGGACTTCAGACAAAAATGACTTGACGGCTGTTATAACAAAATCATTTTCTTTCTCTTTGGAAATTAACGCTATACAGCGGGATATATAATAATAATAATATTGCTTTTATATTTCGAAACTCTGTGATCTTTAATATATTTTCACTAGAGGGAAAAGCCGGATAGTTGCCCCACTTTTCGAAAAAGCTTTATATTTTTTAAATATGAACTTGCTGAAAATTATTCAATATGTATCTCAAAATAGGTCTTTTATCTTCCATAAAAACCTATTTTTGTATACATAATTAACAATGGTTTTGAATAAAACGTTTTATTTCACCTTAGAAAAGGGATAGTTGCCAAGGGGAAGTAGAGGAGAAAAGTTGGGGATATTGCTGTGGTTTTATTTTGATAGAAAGAAATTTATATCAAATAGAGTAATCATTATTATTTATTTAAAGTCTTTATAATTTACTGAGATCTTTTATTAAGTACAATTTGAAATATTAATAAACAGCAGTAATTTTTCCTTTTTCACCGGAAGTAAGATTTAACTGTTTAGACTTTCTTAGCTAATACTTTACCAATTTTATTATTGAGTGGACACGCTTTCATCAGTAAAATTTTATCTGGTTATAGAAATATTAGTTAAAATAGTGTAAGAGTTTGAAAAAATAAACTTCTGGAGACTGCTTTAATTGAAAACCTAGCTTGTCTAAAGTTAAATAAGATTTTTTAAGAAAGCTTTTAGCTTGAGGTTAGCCATTTTACTCTCATTAATAAAGTTGGTAATCCACTCTAATTGAAGAGGAAGGGATGTGAGAGGTTAGTTATCTATAATAAATATATAAAATGTGAAGTAGATATTTATTTAATTTACAACAAGTTAGAGACAAAGTAAATTAATAAACATCAAAAAACAGAAAAAAATAAAAGTTGTAAGAAATTTAGTAAGAATATGAGGTAGGGAATATGGGAAGCATTGGAAATAAATAAAAATTATTTAGAATAAAACATATAAACAGTGTAATTAAACTCTAAAGAAAGAAACAAAAGTATGATACATATAGTAATAAAAATATTAATAGAAATTACTTACAATATAATTATAACGCCCGTAAGTTTGGGGAGATTTGTAAGGACAAAACACTGGGTAGAGGGGAGTACTACATGTAGTAAAGGATACAACTTATAATCTAAAAAAAGGGCCTATATCTCGGACTCCCGTGTGCCTCTTGGCAAAGGCTTCCTCTAACACTTTCCGCTGTTCTCTATCCTTTGCGACTCTTCTCCAGTTATAGCCTGCTATTCATTTGAGTTCGTCCTCCCATCTTTTGCATTGTCAGCCTCGTCTTTGTTTCTGTCCGGATTATAGCGCGATATCATATTATAATTATAACCACAACCTTTTTTTAAGAAATACTGGAAAATATCGTCTTTCGTCTTGATATTTTACTAACAATATGTTTGTTTATAGTTTCTTGGATGATCTGGATCGGTTAGGCGCCAGGGATTACCAGCCCACGGAGCAGGATATCTTAAGAACCAGAGTCAAAACCACCGGAATCGTAGAGGTTCACTTCTCCTTCAAAAACCTTAACTTTAAGTAAGTATTCCATCTCTTCTTTGCCTTACTTTAACCCTTAAGTGTCTCTTGTCTTTATAAAACAGATAAGATTGATGAAAACTTATAATTATTGCACCCTTGGGGCTTCAGAAATATAACATTTATTAGATTGTGATCACTATGTTGTGATGGAGCTCGTCTCTCCAATGTGTCTTCATTATACTATGATCTCTCTTCCGTCGGTAGATCATGTGTGAGCGTCGTGGTCAGCAAGGAACCATCTAGTTGGTGAACGGCCACGCGATCTTTTCCTTCTGTGTTACCAACCACGATCAGTTTCTCACATGATAAGCAATATAAAATGAGCTTTTGTCTCCTCCGAATCCTTGGTGACATTCGTTTACAGACACGGTCTACTGTTTTATTCTAGGCCTTAATTGTTTAAAATTAACTTTTCAGATTGTTCGACGTGGGTGGTCAACGGTCGGAACGGAAGAAATGGATCCATTGCTTCGAGGATGTGACCGCGATCATATTCTGTGTCGCCATGTCCGAGTACGACCAGGTGTTGCACGAAGATGAGACAACGGTAATTCCTTTAATTACTCTTATAAATAAAAGCAGTAAGGTTCTCAAGAAGAGAAAACCGGGGAGGGCTTGTGCAAGATCGGTTGACAAAATTTGATGAAGGGAACTATTTGTTTCGGGCCTTTAAGGGAACATACTAACAGAATCTTAAATAAATCTAATATATAGAAAAAATGTAAACGTTCGATCCATGCAATTATAGAACCGTATGCAAGAGAGTCTGAAGCTGTTCGACTCGATCTGCAACAACAAGTGGTTCACCGACACCAGCATCATCCTCTTCCTCAACAAGAAAGATCTCTTCGAGGAGAAGATCCGCAAGTCGCCTCTCACCATCTGCTTTCCGGAGTACACGGGTGAGGATTATTAGATTATTCCAAAGACTTACTTTTATGATTCCAATACTAGAATGCAGCATTCACGAATTCACGCAATTACTCAATCATAGTTAAAAGGTAATCCGAAACAGGAAACTTATCGTTACGATCGTTTTATTTCTGAGTAAAATGAAAAAGGTGAAAAAAAAGTGTTTGCCGATATTATTCGTCGTAACAAATAATTTGATTTTAATTTTTATATTTTGATCACGTGTTTGTCAATCGGAACGACGCAGGTGCCCAAGAGTACGGCGAGGCGGCCGCCTACATCCAGGCGCAGTTCGAGGCCAAGAACAAGTCCACCACGAAGGAGATCTACTGCCACATGACGTGCGCCACCGACACCAACAACATCCAGTTCGTGTTCGACGCCGTCACCGACGTCATCATCGCCAACAACCTCCGCGGCTGCGGCCTCTACTAG